ATATATATCAATGGTTTAGAAAATGGATCAGTGCCCCAGATCGAGCACCACAAAAACTCGTGTATCGACGATCCAGATTGGGAAGCGACCAAATCGATCGGATTAAGTCTTAAATAAAATTCAAAGAAAATATTAAAATTCATTATAAATATTATTTTTTAAGATTCAAATAAGAAATGAGGGTACTACATTATTAACTTTCATTTTTTTCATCATATGTGAATATTGAGATGTTCTTTCCCTGTATGAACTTATGTTAACCATTAAATTTACATCACATAAAAGAAAAGTCATAGAATTATCATGGACTATAACAAATAATTGATTAAATCGATGAAAAAATGGCCATCAAAATCACGAATTAGCGAAAAACTCTAATCCGCTAAAAAAATCTCAAATTATTACAACCTAACTAACTATAATTTAAAATTATTACAACCTAACTAACTATAATAATATATACTGAAACTGAAATTGTTGGCTTACATTTTATAATTATTTTATTATACAAATAATAATAAATCCAAAATATCTTATATTATCATCTAATTTAAAATATATTATTGACAACTGTAAGAAAAAATAGTACATTACATAATTTACAACACAAATAAATTAATAGATAAACTAAAAGATTTGGATATCAATGTGGAAATTAGTAGAATGCGTACCAATTTTTGAAATAGCACTTTAATTTTTCAAAAATATAATTTTTTAAGTTTCTAGAATAAATTTAGTGGAAGAGATTGTTGGTAGAGAGAAAAGGATTTCAAATGGCCTCATTGGATGATCGTGATGTCATGTGCGTGATCCATGTCATTATTTTAACTTGTCGACCCTAGCGAGTCACAGCCTTTAAAGGCGGTCCATGATGTCATCAGGGCGATCCTTCTAATTTACTGTGTAGAATCCGGCGGGCAGTCCACGATCCTTCTGATTTACTGTGTAGAATCCGGGCGATCCTTCCGATTTACTGTGTAGAATCCGGAGGGTGGTCCATGATGTCTAATTTACTGGGTAGAATCCAGCAGGCGGTCCATGATGTCATCAAAGCGATCCTTCCAATTTATTGTGTAGAATCCGCTCGGCAGATGGTGAACGATTCCCATGTCGACCCGGGGTCCATGATGTCATCAGGGCGATCCTTCCGATTTACTGTGTAGAATCCGTGCGGCAGATGGTGAACGATTCCCATGTCGACCCGCGGTCCATGATGTCATCAGGGCAATCCTTCTAATTTACTGTGTAAAATCTGCTCGGCAAATGGTGAACGATTCCCATGTCGACCCGGGTGATCTGATTTATTGTGTAGAATCCGACGGGCAGTCCATGATATCCGATTTACTGTGTAGAATCCGGCGGCGGGCGGTCCATGATGTCATCAAGGCGATCCTTCCGATCTACTGTGTAGAATCTGCCCTGCAGATGGTGAACGATTCTCATGTCGACCCTCTCCAAGCAGATGGTGAACGATTCCCGTATCGACCCGTGCGAATCCCCTCCCAGCAGATGGTGAACGATTCCCATATCGACCAGGGCAAATCTGCCCAGCACGATTCCCGTGTCGCCTGGGTCGACCCGTGCCCAGACGGGCGAATCTGCTTGGCACAATTCCTGTGTCGACCCGTGCCCAGCTAATGGTGAACGATTCCCGTGTCGACGTTGGGCGAGTCGCAACTGTTTAAAGGCATTACATGATGTCATCAGGGCGATCCTTCCGATTTACTGTGTAGAATTTGATGTCATCAGGGTGATCCTTCCAAATTTACTGTGTAGAATATGCTCGGCGAGCGGTCCATGATGTCATCAGGGCAATTTACTGTATAGAATCCGCTTGGCGGGCAGTCCATGATGTCATCAGAGCGATCGGATTTACTTAAAATCCACCCGACAGATGGTAAACGATTCCCGTGTCACTCGGGCGAGTCGCAACTCTTTAAGGGGCGTCCATGATGTCATCAGGGCGATCCTTCTGAGTTACTTTGTGCAATCCGCCCGGTAGATGGTGAACGATTCCCGTGTCGCCTACGAGTCGCAACTGTTTAAGGGCGGTCCATGATGTCATCAAGGTGATCCTTCCGATTTACTGTGTAGAATTCGTCCGACAGATGGTGAACGATTCCCGTGTCGACCCGGGTGAGTCACAACTTAAAATACTGATATATATATATATATATATATAGGGGTGAGCCCACTAGCTCACAGGAAAAAATGAGCTCAACGGCCTAGATTGAATCTAGGTCGATCTGACGATCACGAATGTCCGGTAGTATTTTAATTTTAATTTTTTTTCTACAAATCTAAATCACTTGAAATTTAGAATGTGTGTACATCAAAAATAGGTGAATCTTCAAAAAATATCAAAAAAATATTTTACATGAAATAAATTGACCAAAATACCTCCAAAACGTTTCGTGGGTATTTGGTCATTTTTTCATGAATTATTGTGTTTATATTTTTATTAGCTGTGGCTTGATGAGAGGATTACACGCCTAAAATTTCAAATGATTTGATTTGTACAAAAAATTAAAATTCAAACACTATCAAATATCTGTGTTCATCAAATCCGCCCAGATTTCATCCGGGATATTGGTCTTATACTATTTTATTAGCTAGTGGATTTTATATATATATCTATATGGGAAATGATGAGGTGCGCTCCATCGCATTTGCGTCCAACGGCTGAGATCTTCAGCCTCTTAATGAACAACCCAGGTTTACATGGGAAAAACCTATTTCAGTTAATGGGTCGTACACCTGCCTGCAAATTTGTCAGCTACTGTCTCCAAAATGGCAGCTACTCTCTCTCCCCCTGTCAGCTACTCCTCCCAGTTACTCTCACACTTCTCTCTCTATGCCATTTTGCTGGTCTCTCTCAACTACTCCCTCTCCGTGTTACCGTCAGCCTTCTCTCTCTACGCTCAGCCATTACCCATTTTGCTACTTTCTCTACGCTCAGCCATTACCCATTCTGCTACTCTCTTTACTCCTGTCAACGACTCACTCTCCCTGTATGGTATATACGACAGGAATGGTCAAAGACTATGGATTGCTGTGCTTCTTTTACAGGTATGTCTCTTTGAGGGGAGTATTTCTGTACAAATATTGTGCTTGAAATCAATGGTTTCTATTGATATTTCTTTAAATAGATTAGTTGGGGAAATCCCACAAAATTGTTGTGCTTCTTTTACAGAGCTCAAATCTCAGAATCTTGCAGGGATGGAGTTCAGGGAAGGATTTCTGATTTCTGAGGCCTGAAATCATTTTTGAGGTCGAGTATTGGGTCTGTTTTTCATGAATTGTTGAAGATCTTTGACATCAGTAAAACCCAGTTTCACGACCATATTTGACACAAAATCTCCATTTCTGACATTTTTTGGTAAATATGACAGGTATGGTAAACATGTCTACTTAGATCTGTATACCACAGACACAAGAATTGAATTTGCTGAAATTTAGAGATAGACAAAGAATTGAATTTGCTGAAATTCTGCCACAGACAAAAAACATGTCTACTTAGAGATAGATGTTATTGAATTTGCTGAAATTTATTAAAAAAATTGTCCACTTTCCATGTGAATAGATGTTATTGAATTTGCTAAAATTTATTTTTAAGTGATTTTATAGACAAAGAATTGAAGTATTAAATATAACAAGTTGATTGAGGATGGGAATGTTTTTTTTTAGAATGGCATGGAATGGGAACGTTAAGGATTTGAATTTGAACAGGGTCCAATATGTGAGTGGAGGCTGCAGCTTTGAGGATTTTTTGATGCAAGGGTCTCTGTTTCTTTTTATTTTACTTATTTTATTTTATTTATTTTTGTTAAGTTTAGTGGTCGGAGAGGGTTGAGGGATTGTCCCTGCAACTTGGATGTAGATAGTATCCCTTATAATTATTTATTCACCAAAAACTTATCTACTTAGATATGTATGCCATAGACACAGGCACTTCAATTGCTCATTTATTTATGAGGAGTTCTATTTATTTATGATCTTTTTGAGTACTTTTAGCATGTTACCCATTTGTACCTCTTTATATATAAGTTTTGAATGGTTACATTCTTTTAATTTACGAGCATTGTGAACTCATATTTCCTTAAATTAAATGTTGTATGCCTTATTATCCATATGCTATTGGAAGAACATTTTGATATGTCAAATGTTATATATACATGTTGATATGTTTCTTTTTATTATCTAGGGTCAGTTGAAAAACTGAGATGGACTGCACTATTTCATATGATGTGTTATCTCCCACTAACGCAAACGTAGACAACATGGGTGACACCATTGAGCCCATGGAGCAGGTTCCTTTTCATGTAACCCCTCCCATGAAATTTATAGAAATGCAAGATGGAGAACCTGACTCATCAATGAAAAGCCTAAAAATAAAAGAACCCCATGTAGGAATGAAGATTTCTTCAGAGGACGATGCATATGCCTATTATAAGGCTTATGCATTAATCAAAGGTTTTGGTATCCGTAGGGGTTCTACCCACAACAAGAAAGGTCAAAGGATTGATAGAGAAATTAATTGCTCCAGGGAAGGCTTTCGTAGAGGCAAACATCAGGTCAGTAGAAAGGTACTCCCTATATCAAGGGGTGGGTGTATGGCTAAGTTAGGCTTGAGTAGAAAAGCGGACAACGAGTGGATTGTTATTAGGTCTATTAAGGACCACAATCACGCCCTAGTCTCTCCAAGAAAAGCTTGTTTAATTCTCAGCCACCGAAAATTATCGAATGTCACAAAGTCCTTGATAAATTTAATGAGTTCGGCAATGATTAAGCCAATACATATTCATGACATATTCATAGAGCAAGCTGGAGGAATCGACAATGTCAAGGACATCGAAAATGAAATTGCTAATGCTAGAAGAAAACTAAAAGGAGAAGATAGAAATCGAATTATGCAATGGCTCTATAAAATGAATGCATCGAACCCATCTTTGTATATAGATTGAAACTAGATGAAAATGATCACATTCTCAGCATCTTATGGGTAGATGCCACATGTAAAGTTTCCTTCCAATGCTTTTCTGATGTGGTTACATTTGATACCACATACATAACAAACTCGTTTGGTATGTCCTCTGCACCCACACTTGGTGTAAATCATCATTTCAATACAACTTTCTTTGGATTTGTACTCATTCTTGATGAGAAGGTAGAATCATTTGTTTGGGTATTTGAAAATTGGTTAAAAGCAATGGGTGGACGCCAACCATGTGTTATTCTCACAGATCAAGACCATGCAATTTCAGCCACAGTGAGACAAGTTTTTTACCAGAGTAAACATCATTACTGCAAGTGGCATATACTTTAAAAAATTAAAGAAAAACTATGTCATGTCTTACGCATGTCTCGTTCTTTTTCAGATACATTCAGGAGGTGTGTAGCTAGTCCAACAGTAAAGGAATTTGAATTGGGATGGAAATATATGATTGAAGAATATGAGTTGGAAAGCAACAAATGGCTGAATAGGCTTTATACTTGTCGCATGCAATGGGTTGACGCATATTTGACTAACATATTCACCGCATGTATGACTTCTACTCAAAGAATTGAAGGGATGAACAAGCACTTGAAGATGTACTTGACATCCACAATAAGCTTACGTACAGTATTGGAAATATGTGCAAAGATGCAAGATAAGAAGGTACGAAAAGAGAAGGAAAACGACATAAAAGACATTTCAACTACTCCAATCTTAAGAACAACTTCTATCATTGAGTCTCAGGCATCCAAGATCTATACTCAAAAGATTTTGAAGATATTTGGGGAAGAGGTGGCCAATTGTATGAATTTTATAAGTGAGTTAGTTGATGACAATGGACAGGTTGCCACTTTTAAGGTGGCAGATGCGGAAAATGGATGTAGATCATGCTTGGTGGAATTCAATTCCCATGAGAAGATGGTTTCTTGCAATTGTTACTTATTCGAGAGGATGGGCCTTCTTTGTAGGCATGTGTTGAAAATTTTTATGATGAAGAATGTTTTTGAAATCCCTCCCCCATACATAATGAGACATTGGTCAAAGGACGTAAAGAAGGTGGTTTTTCTTGATGACTGTGGCAGACGACTACATGTGACATCTGAACTACCACGCTCCATTCGATATAATGATGTCCTTCAGGCTATTCGATACCTCGTTGAGCGTGCTTCAGAAAGTGCAGAAGTCTATAAATTTGTAATGTATTTAATACACCGTGATATCATAGAGATTGATGGTAAATTTGGCTGTAAGAGAGGTCCACAGGTTGACACCATGAGCCATGGCAATGATGATGCTAGTTGTAATGACACACCAAATGGAAGTTACCATTGTGAAAATGTCCTTGACCCTCCATGAGCACCGAAAAAGGGACAGCCTACAAATTCAAGAAAAAAAGCTCGATCAGGGGAATGGAAGCCAGTGAAAAATTCTAGAAAATGCACAGTTTGCTAGGCCAGTGTGCATGATAGAAGAAATTGTCCATCATTCTTCTGTAAAAAGTAGTAATCCATAACTTTTAGAACTTCCATATGATGTTATTCATTGCGAATGCATTATGAAATGCTAACAGTGCAATTTATTTTCTTCCTACAGGGTTATCTCCAAAGTCCGTCGTACGGTTGGTTCCCGTAAGAACGCGGGACATATGCAATGATGTTAAGCAACACTATGTATTATATTATGTGGGTGTTGTATTATGACTGTTTTGTGTGGTAATGAGTTGTTTATTGACTGCTGAAATTGAACTTTGACTGTTGAATGGCGTTATGACAATGAAATTTCAGCAATTTGTAAACTATTGTATTGCAAACTGATGTAGTTGGTTGTAATTGTAAATTGTGTATTTGGTTGTAATTGTAACCTACTGTATTGTTGCAAACTGTTGTAATTGGCTTTAATTGTAAACTATGTATTTGGCTGTAATCGTACTACTGTATTGTAAACCAATACGCCTATCAATTACTGCAGTTTAAAAAATGGTCAAGAATGCAAACACATGGGTTTAGTTCTACTTGTACGTTATCCCCCAAAAAAAAAAAAAGAACAAGAAAAGGGACACATATGTAAGAGAAACATGGGTTTAATGGCATATACTTGGAAACTTTTGATCAATGTATATAGGTTGTTTTAATCTCTTCTTGTTGGTCAAAAGCACAGATGACTATCCATTTAAAATTGTAAATAGGGTGTGTTACTTTGCTAGAAGTAATCATTTTATTGGAATATGTGGAACTCAATGTTATATGCTCCTTGCTGTTGCAGGTCGAAAAGATGTGCCCTCGTTGCCATTGCAGGTCGAAAAGATACGCCACAAGATGCAACAAAGTTTTGCAGAAGATTTTATTTTATGGAAATTATTCAAGAGTCATTTTTTGTTTTTAGCTTGTGCATGTCATGTGCTAATTGTGTTGTATGGAAATGGGGACATTAAAGAGTCATTTTTTTGTAAATTACAGTGTTGAATCAAAGAGTCATTTTTTTGTAAATTACAGTGTTGAATCAAAGAGTCATTTTTTGTCATGTGGTGCAGTGCTGATTGTGTTGGAAGCACGATGTTTGAAGTGACGGTGTTTGTTATAGAGGGACTACTGTTCGCAATCCATCATTTTTGTACGAGCTGAAATTTGAGTGGGAAATTGAAAAGTGATATTGAAATTGAAAACACTACAAATGTTTGGCTCCTCACCGGTTCATTTTTTTGTAAATGTTTCTCCTCACTGATATGCACGTTTGGCATATCTATTAAGAGCTTGCAAACAGTAAATTTTTGCAGCTGTAACCTTGGACATGAATAGTATTATAACCTTTTCTTCAAAAGATTAGTGAAAAAAATTTTGAAACCATGGATATTAATAGTGTTGTAACCATGGATATTCATTTCTTTAAAGGTTTGGCTCTCCGTGGGCCGATCAGCAGTATTGTAAACTAACGAGCATCAACACATTCTTACCTCATTATTCACAGGTCTCACTTGAAAAGAAATTGACAGCTCCTCACAACTTTGACAATCAAAGGTTTATTCATCCACAATGCCAGAAAATTATAAGGGTGAAATTACTTTTAATTTCCAAAATGAATATCAACAACAATAATTGTTGTATGAGTTGTGAGACCAATTCTCTAATCATATCAAACTTTTTTAATAGAAGTAGTACAAAAATAACCGTAGTCATTACAGACAAGAAAAACATAAATTATTGCATACGCCATAAGGCATTGAATGACCATCAGTCCAGGCTTGTCCATGAGATGCACTTGTGATACTTGTGATTGATTCCTTTGTTGTACTTTATGATGTCTCAAGTTCATATTGTAGTTCATCACTTCCATATATTCATCATGTGATTGATTCCTTTGTTGTACATTATGATGTCTCAAGTTCGTATTGTAGTTCATCACTTCCATATATTCATAGCTCTATTGGAAAAAAGTACAATTTGGACACCCATAGTACAATCTTCTAGGGTTGGATAGGGAACTTGATGTACTTAAGTTACATGGTATGTCGCACCGCAGACAGTTGCGGTGTGGATATCTTCCATTGTTTGTGAAAGCTGATGACATCCTTATGGGTTCAAAGGTCTAGATCTGCATCCACATTTTATAAAAAGTAAACATAATGATATTACTTAGTTATGCCAAGATCAGACATTGAAGTGCTGGAATGTATGTGAATAAGGCATGAAAAAATAAATTTCAGCAAATTCAAGAACATCTATTCACATGGAAAATAGACATGTTTTATAAAATTATCAGCAAATTCAATAACATCTATCTCTAATCCTGAAGTGACTGTTCTGTGGCATAAGTAGACATTTTTTTGTAAATACGACAGGTATGGTCAAAGACTATGGATTGTTGTGCTTCTTTTACAGGTATGTCTCTTTTGAGGGGAGCATTCCTGTACAAATATTGAGCTTGAAATATCTGGTTTCTATTGATATTTCTTTTAATAGATTAGTTGGGGAAATCCCACAAAATTGTTGTGCTTGAGCTCAAATCTCAGAATCTTACTGGAAATGGAGTTCAGGGAAGGATTTCTGATCTCGCTGGCCTGAAATCAATTTCGAGGTCGAGTATTGGGTCTGTTTTTCAGGAATTGTTGAAGATCTTTGACATCAGTGAAACGCAGTTTCACGACCATATTTGACATATAAGCTCCATTTCTGATTTGGCTAATTTGATTTTCCTCGATACATCATCTAACCAAGTTAGTGGAGAGATTTTCACCGACTTAAAACAAAACCCACCCCCTAACACACCTCAATCTCGCTCACAGTCTTTTATTTCTACAAAAAGTCCCTCTCATGAATGAGCGCCTGTCAAACTACAAAAAGTCCCTCTCATGAATGAGCCTCGAGTCTGTCAAATATCTAAACCAACTTACAGGGGCAACTCAACAATCAAGAATATGGTCAAAGGCTTCCTACAAAAAATTGGTGTATCCAAACCACAATTTAAGAAAAAATCAGATATGACAAACAACACCACTAATATCACTCTAAAACCCTAAAAAATAAGACTTTCAATAAAAATCCAATACAGAAAAATCGTGAATAAATAACAATAAGGGACACCATCTACAACCAAGTTGCAAGGGCAGCTCAACCATCAAGAATATAGTGCAAGACTTCCTCCAAAAAATAAGAGTCAACAAAAAAAACCCAATAAAATAAAAATCAGAGGTGAAGCCATGAAACTCACATCTGTGTGGCGAGAGGCTACAGTAGTTGCTGGTGTGGAGAGAGCTGCTATGGTCTCTGAGCGTAGAGAGAGAAGTAATGGCTGAGCGTAGAGAGAAGGGTGAGGGTAACAGGGAGAGAGAGTAGTTGACAGGAGGAGAGAGTAGCAAAATGGGTAATGGCTGAGTGTTGAGAGAGAAGGGTGAGGTAACAGGGAGAGAGAGTAGTTGACGGGGGGAGAGAGACGGGTAAAATGGCGTAGAGAGAGAAGGGTGAGAGTAACAGGGAGAGAGAGTAGCGGACACGCAGAGAAAGTAGCTGCCATTTTGGAGAGAGTAGCTGACAAAGTTGCAGGCGGTTGTACGACTCATTAACTGAAATGGGTTTTTCTCATGTAAACCTGGGACGTTGATTAAGAGGCTAAAGATCTCAGCCGTTGGGCCCAAATGGATATATATGTATATCTTTAAACAAAACCTATAATACAAACTCTTTTCCTTCAAACCAAATTCTCTTCCTTCAAATCACGTACTCAATAAAACTATCCGCTACATTTTTGGGATGCCTTCCTCTTTTTTTTTATGTTTCTCTTATATAGAGGAAGGAATCAGAATTCAAAATGTTTTAAATCCGCACCGAAATGTTTTGGGCACTGACATTTTTTGAAAAAAAACAAGATTTTCTACTGTGAACCTAACACTTTTTTGAAAAAGCAAGATTCTCAACAGTAAATAGTTTTTTCGGTAGCAATAATGGGCTTATTTTTTCTAGAAATTTGTCAAGTTGTAATAATATTCTTATCTTTTGCTACTAGCTTTAGGGACACGTGTCCTGGGTGAATTGGAATCGTACCGTCTATATTAATTTTTCTTTTACTTCATGGGGGAAAAATTAATCCCTGCACAGTCATCACTATTGAGTAGACTGTAATCTTCGGTTTTTTCTTCTTCTTTTGTTGGTATGGTCTGTATATCAACATCTTCTTCTAGTGCTAAAAGCAGTTTTCTTTTAAGCTCTGCTTTTGATAATTTGGGATTCTTTTGTTGTATTATTGTGACGTAGTATGTTATATCTATGTTTGAACTTGGCAAAGAGGATGGTATTATCTTCATATAAATTTTCTCTGGATCCAGATAGTTATTTTTGTAACTGTCCCACCATTTTATTGATATTTGTCGGCGTAATTCAGGGATATAATCCCACTGATCCATATTATCTTCAAAGAGTTAATATGTCCATTTTAGTATCCAAGAGACCTCATATAAGGCCATGCAGTATAAATGATAGTCTCTTTTTAGACAATGTTTATTATAGTCAGATAATTTTCTCTGTGATATCTGCATTTTTTGGGGAAGTATCTGGTTGCATGATCCCTATAACAGGAACCAACTTTTTAACCAGTTAGAGAATTCAATGAGTTCAGTTATTTTAAACTGTGCATACCAACTATGCAAAGTTTTGGTATTTTGGTAAGCAAAGACTTCGTCCCAAGCCTTGATATATTCGAAATAATGGTAGGATCTAATTTTAAATACTCTAGTGGTGTACTATAGTCACAGATCATGTTTCCATTAGTATGGCTTCATACCATTCTCTACATTTTTCTCCCATATTGGGATGAAGGTGATTTCGTAAATATATTGATGTTATTTCGGTAGGGTATTTTCCCCTGTGATCATTCTCAACAATTATGAGTGGTATATATGTTGTTTACAGAAACAGAGTTCTATTAGCACTCGGGTTATTAATGCTTAAAGGGGAATCGTTAGGGAGATATATCAATCTCTTGAACTTGCTTTCTTATTAAATCTTTTGGAGCTGATGGTGAAGCCAGGCATTTTCCTGAGCTGAGAACTATATTTGTTGGATGTTTTTGCGGAGCTTGGCTTTTACCAGGACGGAGAACTATATCCATCGGATGATTTTGCCTTTTCTTGTCCTCCCAGTAAAAATTCTCAGGTCAAAAAGTCAGGGAGATGGTTATTTTTACCATTAATGTGTTCAATTGTAAATTCAACGATGAAAGGATACCCTGTCATCGGGCAAATATTTGTTTTGAGATGAGATTTTTTACACTGTTTTCAAGAATATATTTGGCTGCCTTACAATTAGTACGAATAAGAAAATTTTGGTTTAGTAGGTCACTCTGGAATTTAGTCACACAATGAACGATAGCCAATAATTCTTTTTTAACCGTGGAATAGCTCTATTGGGCAGGACTCCAGGTTTTTGGAAGTAAAACGCACCAGTTGTTCTTGCTTCTGAAATTTTTGTTTGAGTATGCCACCTAATTCTTGTTCTGAAGTGTTAGTTTCAACTATTTTAAACAATGTAGGATTAGATAATGCTAAGCAATACA